TAACAAACGATGATGTAAAAATCAATTACGAACCGAGCGTAGAAACAAGAAAAATACGAAGAAAAGTTGATAATTAATTGAATTAATCGGACATTATAGGAACCATGTACAAGTTCTCTGTAATTTAACGAACGCTGTGGAACCTTGTCACGCTATGTCGAGTGAAAGTAGTACATGATTTCAGATTTACAACCGTCTTTCCTATACACCATTACATAAATTATTTTTGCGTTGAAGATCGATCATTTCGCGTGATAGCTTCGAGTGAGTCGAACAATAAATGTGTTCGACTCGATTGAAAAATGAGATAACACGCTTAAAAAATAAATGCTCCGTACAGTTCACGTCTGTGCCACAGACTATAAACGTGACGATCGAGTGTCATTATGTTTTGTACAAAGTTGCAAAAAGATAATAAGAACAAAAAGTTATTAGCTGTACTGTGAATTTCTATGCGAGTTCTCATGAAATTATCAAATGAAACATCAAATACAGATATTTTTGATATATCTATATTTTCGTGTATATCTAAATTTTCTATGAAAGCGTGAAAGTTCTAGTTATCAAATTAAAGGTCGTTTCTCTCAACGTTACGATTTCCACATTTTATTAAAATGAAGCCGTGTGATAATTTCGGTAGTATCGTATGTTTCCTCCTATTATGAAATCAATTTGATCTGAATACTTTTCTGACGCTGCTTTATATTTCCAATATTCCGTAACGATAAAGAGGACCCTAGGATTTGACCTTATTTCATATACATAATTTACGTATGTAATGTATGTACATCGTGTTGAATCTGTTTTCTATTCCTCGGTAATTCACGTTAATGAAAGAAATCCGCGGAATTCCGCTGAAAAACAACAACGAAAAAAACAAAAAAAATTATCCTTTCATACAGGATAGAGGTAAGATAAATTATTTGAGTCTCTTCAATTAACACATGCACCGATAATTAGGTATTAGTAAGTTAACCATAATGGTTAATTTTCACAAATAAAGCACTTCTTCTACTACCTTCACTTTTTAATTATCTTATTATAAATTTTATTTCATTCGAGTCGTATTACTATGTGATAAGTAAATGTGTATTAAATGATACATACCGTATATAAATTTGACATTTTTGTTTTAATAAAATTACGTACTTATACTAGCAGTATAAGAATCCTCAAAAATAAATTATCGTTACATTTTCAACACTGAATTTCATTATATCACCAGCAAGATATAATACTCGATACAAGATACCGTCACTAACGAGACTGCGATGTTTTTATCATCTTTTATCAAAGCTTGTAACATTTCTAATACCAATTTAATAACCGATCAGATTGTTCTTTTTTTTTTTTTTTTTGTCAGATAATCAAACGATTAAGAAAGTTCTTATTAACACAGCAGTATTTACTAGACTACTGACATTAATTTGAATTCATTAATTTTGTTCTTGCATTTACTCACATTTATCAGCAATACATACATATGTAGTTATCTACAGCCTATTAATAATCAATCGTAAATTAGAAAGGGGGAGAATGTACAACAAGTTGAGGTTCATCACTAACAATTATATTCGAAAGAAATTACGAAAGGATCTTATTTCAAAAGATTGTCGAATGAATGAAATTCAAAATAGTTTGACTCTTTTATCGAAACATTTGGAAACGAAAGAGATGCAATTTTGGCCTCGAGGATATTATTTGGCCTTCGTGGTCATTCAGTGAAATATCTGTTGTCATAAAATTCTTTGTTGAAGAAAAAAAGAGAAAGAAAGGATACGGATATATGTTGAAGAGAATTTGCGACAATGTTACTGAGAAAAAGCGATCTTTATTGTATAATATGCTCTTTCAAGTCAAACGTTCTTTTATGTTATATATAATATGCGTGCCAGATATAATATAAGTTATATCATACATATATAGTTTTTAATATATACAAAGATGTATTTGTTGCACGTACATATGC